AATTTTAGAGGAGGCAATAGACATGAAAATAGACTGTTTGATGATGATGATTTTTCCGGTTGTTAAATCTAATGGCAGCATTTATGGAAAATTTCAATGCCAAGCATGGGAAAGGGTAAAGAAGGAGGGACAATTTACATTGAAAATAGGCCCCCGTAAATTTCAACCAAATTTCAATATTTTAAAGATATCATCATTGCAAGAAAAAATTTGAAATATACAGATGATCGTATGTCTGTGATAGCAGATATAGCTCATCAAAGTATGTGGGTCCTGCTATGCTATGCAGAGGAAATATCCCTACGTAGATTTTCTTGAATATCTCGAAAAATACTAATCCAATTTTGACGTTTTTGGGGTCCGTTTGTACTGTTTGTAGATATCAAACTCCAAAAAGGTCAAAATCGGATTAGTATTTTTCAAGATATTCAAGAAAATCTACGTAGGGATATGTCCTCGGATATTTCCTATGCATAGCATAGCAGGACCCACGTACTTTGATGAGCTATATCTGCTATCACAGACATACGATCCTCTTTATATTTCAAACTTTTTCTTGCAATGATAATACCTTTAAGATATTGGTATTTGGTTGAAATTTACGAGGGCCTATTTTCAATGTTAATTGTGCCTCCTTCTTTGAGGGAATAGTTGGGCCCTATGGCCTTGGAGAAAGGAACGAAAGATGTGATCGACTTTCACAATTCTGCCAAGTAGAAAGCAAGAGAGTTACAAATACATAGTTTCAAATCCATTCTCGTCGTCTTTATACTTGAGGGAACCCAGCAGCCGGACTGCCGGACCGTATACTCTGATACCAGACCAAATAAATTTCATCCTCATCCACGTCGAAGAAAGCCAATAACACAGCAACGGATAGCGCCGGAAAAGCTGAGGGATCCAATTATGAGAGCTGAATAACATCAAATATTGAAGAAGAGCTAACGACATCATGAACAAAGAAAATGGATATTGTGAAAAATCAATGCAGAACAGATTAAACAAGGAACAAAAAGCAAAAATGGGCGTAGGATCAGATCTTGTTGTTGATAGATAAATGTCGAAAGTACAAGAACAAAACGGATGGCAGCATATACAAACACATTCAAAGACTTATAAGATTAAAGATAAGAATAGCAAAAAACGTGAATACACAAGAACAGCTGCAAAATCAGCACGATGATTTTAACTTACACAAAAAGCTGGAGGAGACTACTGGCATTTATAAACAAATGAGACCAACTGTAACAGTCAATGAGAAGATCTATGTTTGGCAAAAGCATATAGAAGAACTTTTTGACGATGACAAACCGACAAACCTCCAAGTGAAGGTAATAATTCTCTAACTAGACCATCGATCACTAAAGAGATTGAAAAAGCTATATGAGATTCAAAAAATCACAAACCGGTTGGCCCAGATGAAATTCCTTCGGAAATACTTAAACTCCTTAATGAAAGAGGAATCACAGCATTACATAAAGTTTCCAACATTATATATGAGACAGGTCCTTACCCCGAACAATAGTTGTGCTCAACATTTATTCCCCTTCCTCTAAAAAGACCAATGCAAGAAAATGCGATCATACTTATTAGTCTGATGAGACATACCTCAAAAATATTTCTGGAAGTTATACACCAAAGAATATATAAAAAGTGTGAAAGACGAAAGAGACATAAAAGTGACTTACCATTTGGGTTTAGAGAGTGCTTAGGTACAATAGAGGCGATAGTCGCAACGCAGATAGGTAGTTGTTCCGAATTGCTAAGATCAGAGAAAGGACTTCATAGATAACGGAAAGGCATTCGATCGCTTGCAACACCATATAATAATGCAGTTTCTCAAAAGCTTGATATAGATCAACAAGATATCCGATACATTGAGAATTTATATTGGCACCAAATGGCACAAATAAAACTGGAACATAATGCATCGAACACCATACAATTTAGAAAGGAATGGAAGTGCGACAGGGCTGCGTACTGTCTCCATTCTTATTCAAATTATATTTGGAAGAAGTTTTTCAGAAGACTTCGGAAGACGTAAAAATGGGAGTCAAAGTTAATGGGGTGTGGATCAACAATATTCGATATGCTGACGATGAGGTCCCAGTTCCTGATAATATTCACGACCTACAACTGGTCAATACCGTGAGAGATCAGAGCAAATTAATGGGTTTAAATATCAACACATAAAATAAAAAAAAACTTCAGGATTACTTCCAGAAAACTAAACGGGTTTGAAAACTCCGCCATAACATTTAGGAAAATGCCTATAGAATGAGTGGATAAATTCAAATGTTTGGGCACCTGGCTTTTCGAAGGCTGGACATCGGACATGGAAGTAAAATGGCGCATTGGACAATCCCGAAAGGCATTCTTAAAATTCGGAAAAGTACTCCCCTGCTCCGATTTTGATCTTAGCCTAATAGACCGTCAGATAGTGACAGATTTAGGTGCCCCATTTTCGCATACAAGCCTCGAAGTGGGTTGAAAAATACTTCGATGTTGAGTAGAATGAAGTGAAATTCACGAGTCGCCCCTGGGGATAAAATATGGAAAATTCATTTTCCTTAGCCGAAATAAAAGGTGTCTGTTGCTCATATTTCCATACAAGCCGTGTTCACTAAATGATTAATTATTAAAAACCGATATTACGCGAACTAAAAAAAAATCGGTCAAATTTTTGGACCTTAAAATGTACTTATCCATTCCCACTACTCAAGCCAATATGTTATTCGAGGTAGTGACGGTGGACGTTTTCATACTTCCAATAGCCTTGTGTGCAAAAATCGGTCCAACTTTCGATTTTTTCTTACAATAATAAAGCCCTTTTTTCAACCCTTTAGCCACCTGCAGCACTCAAGCCTTTGGTTTTCCGAAGCTAGGTTTTTAATAAATAATCATTTAGTGAACACGGCTTGCATGGAAATATGGGCAACAGACACCTTTAATTTAGGTTAAGAAAAATCGAATTTTCCATATTTTATCCCCAGGGGCGACTCGTGAAACATCGAAGTATTTTTCAACCCTCTTCGAGGCTTGTATGCGAAAATGGGGCACCTAAATCTGTCACTATCTGACGGTCTATAAGACTGAGGTTCGTAAAGTGTTACATTTTGTCGGTGCTTCTGCTTCCTTACGGTATGGAAGATTGGACACCGAAGGCGAGTGCAATTACCAAATTGGAGTCTTTTGAAATGTGGTTGTATCGCAGAATCCTTAAGATACCTTGGACTGCGAGACTGACAAAGGCGTATCGACGAAGAACGTGAACTGTTTGAGCTAATCAGAAGAGAATAACGGCATGTCTGGGATATATCATGCCAAACAAAAAAATGTCAATTCTTGCAATTGATAGATTGCAGGCAAGATTGAGGGCAGAAGAGGAATCGGAAGAAAGAAAATGTCTTGGCTGCAAAACACAGACAGTGGACAGGTCTGCACGATGTACAGTCACTGACACATACCTCAAAAAACAGAGAAGCAATGGAAAATGTCATCGCAAACATCCATTAATGGATGCGCATCAGAAGAAGAAGAAGAAAACTACCTTCTAAGGTTAAATATTTTAAAGAGGAGGAAAGATTTGCTGTTAGAAGTTATTATTGTGGCCCAAATGGGAATTCGGCAAAATAAATGCTAGAATTGGAAAACTTCATTACTTAATTAAATTGGATAATGGCAGGTAGTTTCCTAAGTGGGAGAAGTAGGAAAATGGAGTTGGAAAATTGAGCCTCTTTTGCCAGATATTTTCATTTGGTGTACAAACACCTGCTGAAAACTAGCTTTACTTTTAGTTTCATAGCAGAATGGCGCATTCCTACTCACTCCTGATGTCGGTAGGACTGCACTTTACCTAGTCTAAGATAATCGCAATAAAATATGGAAACGTCATGTTAATCAAAGCTCCAATTTTTCGGTATTTTTAATCGCTAAGTTAAAACACACACGACTTAGCAAAATTGTGTAGTTACAACACTTTTCAGAAAAGTAGTAGACAAGGTGCAAATAACGCTGATAATGGCCAACGTTCGAAGAGAACATGGTAATTGAAGAAAAAGAAGAAAGGATTGGTATTCAACTATTCCGTGGAATTATTGTCAATGGCGGTTTGATGAAATGGTGTGGAATTCTCAATAGTCGATTGGTAGTTATGAAAAGACCACTTTGACTAGGGAAATAATTTATTTAGAGACTGAGATTGATGGCTAGGGAGATATTATAAGCTTCCTTAGCCGCTCGCGTGGCCTGATTTGACTGTAATGAATTTCTTTGCATGAAATTTTTCAAAACAGAAAAAAAATATAGAGACAGGCCTTTACGGTAAAAGAAAAAACTGAAGGTTGAAGGACAGACAAAGATTTTGTAGGTATTTGCGTTCAAGTAACTTAGAACATTTCCTGTATTAATCAAACGCTAGTAATAAGAAAGCCCACTATTTTGTGATCTAATTTGGCTCGATTGATATTGCTATACTTTACCATGAATGTGAAAAACCACAATACTACACACACAAAGTAATCCATGCGTGGCCACACAATGCAAAAAGCTATTGTTAACATTTTTGTAACAAAACCGAAAGTCCCGATAAACAAAATAAATTATTACAACATAGGAAGTAGCAAAACAAAATAATTCCAATCCTGGCCTTGTTGCTTACAACTGAATAAAAACAAGTGGTATTATTATCGCTTATGTAAAAGTAATTACGCTATGGTGCATCAATCCCTAGTTGAACTAAGTAATGCAAATTCGAGTGATGCAAATTGTTTATAAGATTTTTTCTTTTTCTCAATAATGTTAATTGATACAGCTGCAATATATTCATTTATTTATTGGATCTAATTCACCAGATGATTTATTATTGTGTTTTTTGTATACAGAATTTGAAACTATTTATTAGTTTAGCGAAATTGAATAAACAATTTGAATAAAACTGTAACATTTTTCCCTTCATAGTACAATGTTTTGTAGCTCAAGATTGTTTCGTTTTGTTTCAGTTAAAGAAGATATCCTCTCGCAACCTCAACCTCAATACAGAAGCCTTATCGTTCCGATATTCGTCATCACCATGTTATCGATTGCAGGAATTATAGGACTAGTTGCAATAGTTCTAAAAATATCCGGAAAGACATTAGTGGAAGAAATGGATAACGTATCAATAGCGTCAGATTTGTCCACCGGCAGTTCGAGTACCATATCAGAAGTGGATATCTGTATTGATGAAAAGGAAGGGGATTTGTCAAATGGAAAAGAAGGTGTGAATTAATTGAGTAAAAATAAGTTTCTTGTGTCAAAAACTTTCGACTGGCTGGGCCCTACAAATTAATTTATTAATCGAATGCCATGAAAGTTACCAATTTTAGTGGCAAGATTAGATTCAGACACATAACCTTTTTCTAAAGATAAATGGTTGCCAGTGATTACAAATTAAAACGATTTGAAAGCAAGTCGAGAGACGCTTTGTCTACAAAATAAAGAAAGTTCATTGACAGTGATAATACTATTTATTTTCTTTCAATTGTGATGCAAAACGACATCACATAGAAGGATAACAAAGCAGAATGCATTGTGTATCGCTAACTTATGCATTCCTAGAAATGTGATACCTATAATGTTGTTTGTAACTGTAAACAATGTTTTAAGTGATTAGGATAAGAAGACGACAGTACTAATTGATATTTAGTGGTATTTACTGATGACAGATAAAGGCTGAGAGTGTTTCGAAAATGCGGTTTGTTTGGAGTTTATATGAAATGTTTAATTAATTTATGAAAGATTTTAAGAAAAGTAATTGTTATTTGATCAGAAATTAACTGAAGCGAAATGCGGCAAAATTATCTTAACTATACCTAAAGTTTAATGGTAGGTGACTAAATTATTCATATAAATTTTATGTTTGAATAATAATAAAATAGGAATATATTTTATAAGATTATATCTATATTATTTATATAGACCTCATAACTTAGGTATTTTAGATGTTAAGGAATATGGATCGTGGTTGCATTAAGTTTGCACGTGATTTGTATAATATTTATACTAGGTGTTCAATCTTAATTAGATATTCGATGTTCTATTCGTATTGAACACTGGGTATACTCTACTCTGTGCAATTTTTGGGTATATGTAGGTATTAAATTGTTTATTGATTAGCCATAATATAAAATGTATAAAACCTCATAAGCTGTGTTTTATTTGATGGGGTTCGGGCTTTTTGGGTCAGAGTCATTCTAAACTAGAGCACTTTGGGTAAGCTCAAAATTTTGATAGCATCGTTGAGGTCGATCAAGGAGCTGGATTACCATATGATTTTTGCATAATACCTACATTGCAGGGCCTGATTTCGTATCGGCGTACAGGAATAAATGCCAGAAAATTAACGAGATTCTTAGAAAGTATCTAGGTTTTCAGTTGATCTAGTAAACCTTCGAAATAATAAATAATTATGAAAAACTTTGAGATCCTAGGTCTTGCAGCATATCGATTGTGGACACATGTCTGTCGCCAATCCTTGGCTTATTGGGTCCTCTAAGCCCTGTCTACCTGGAATGAGGCTCACCAGATCATCAAAACATCTCACATGGTAATAGAGATAGAGTAAGTCGGCCACCTTAACTTATGTTCGAGAGATTGCAATTAGCAATGAATCGGTGAGGGTTGGATTATCGAACATTTTTATTGCTTGGAAGCATCGCTCAAGGTGTGGGAACAGTACTCCATACACACATGGGGTGGTATGAATAAAAACGAAGTACATGCTACTACTACAAGTATTAGTATATTCTTCGAAGTATCTACTTCACAAAGAAGCATTTACTAATTTCCGGTAGTGTCGAAATGTAGTACTTATCTACTTCATTTTGGAGTAAATACTACGTAGAATATACTAATACTTGTAGTAGTCGCAAGTACTTCGTTTTTATTCATACCACCCATGGTCTGATTCCAGCCTTATAAAGAAGAAGTTGTTCAGAAATAAACAAGTTTTTTGCACGATCAAAAAAACCTATGTTTGAAAAACGGTTTTGGCAAGTTCCAGTGCGAAGTTGCAGAAGAATTTTCTCAATAGTTTCAGGTCTAAGTACAACGTCGTTCATGTGTGACTGTACGTATCTGTGGCGCTCGGCGCTCTTCCATTATCATCATCATCCATCGTGGATTTGGATGCAAATTGTTTGGCAAAGAGATCTGCTTTTTCCTTTAATAATACTACTTATTGTCCTTGACTAGGTGGAAAGCAAGATGTGACATTTTTTCTTTTTTCCTATGGTCTGGGCAGTCCAAATTCGATTACGTACCTACTTGGTGATTGTGTAACTCCTTAGCCTTGTGGGTTATACGTTTGTAATCATTTCTGGCATCCGTAAACGACGATCGAGTTTGTTCGAATTGGTTTCTACGCAGGCACGATATGCGGTGTTCTTTTTTGCAACCTCTCGGACACTGCTTGTTAAACCAGGGTTTTCCGACACGAGATGTTTTATTGAGGTGTGGAATGTACCATTCCATACCTAACCTCCTTGTGCAGCCTGAGAGGGATTCTTGAATTTAAAGCAAACATCGGACTAATCGGCCACGGAAAAGTCGCGAGAAAAGTTTTGGGCGAGGGGCAAATTGCTGGTCAAATTTGTACAGAAAATTCCAAAAAATGCCAACTAATTCCAGAAATTTCAAAAAAAAAATGCAAGTAGTTTTACAGTTTAGTAGTAGATGTAGGTAGATATCTATATGTAACTTTGAAGGATATTAATAAAATATAATTTATTTTGATACACATTCAACTCCAACAAAACCAAAGCAGGCCGATACTGGACAGAAAAATTAAGATTGACCAAACTATAGTTGAACCAAATCCAAACGGCAGTAATGACATTAAATAACCTTAATTTTAAACAAACACCAGCTGGTAATCCAGCCTTCCTATTGGAGAGCCATACTGGTGGGAAATAAGAGGTAAGAGAAGTCAAAAGCTTATCCAAAAAAAAAGTGGTCACATTGGATGAGATAACAGAACAGCACTGAGAGTTGTAACATTGAAAAAATAAACCTTTGGAGATATATCTCCAAATAACAGCTTCTGGACCAGGTCATATTTCGATAGACTTGCTTAAATATGGCACACGATTTAGGAGACCTATTTGGTCGAACACGAAATCTGTTCTACAAATTTAAACGGAACCAAATTTCCAGAGGAGCGGAAAACTTCATACATACTCACAATTCACAAGAGAAGAAGAAAGTTATACTACCATAATTAAGAGCTATTTTTGTGACCATCTATGGAAAAGTAATCGGGAACAGAGATGAGGATGAGCACAAAGATATGGAAGCAGAGCAATTAGGGTTCAGGGCGGAGAAATCGACTGTGGATCATCTGTTTTGTATAGCACAAGTGCTTGAATACAAAATAGTACCTATGGTATAGGCAAGTCACTCAGGAACATAAACGAGGCTGTGGTATTTCTCCTAAGCTTTTCAATAAGATATATCTGGAAGTTCTCAAAATATGGACAAGAAAATGTCAAAACATGAGCGTACCCATGGGAATATTTATTTCTGCGAGAAATATAAATATCAATAGCTGGGGAGAAGACTTACATAATCAAATTCGCAACAGAGCCCTCCAGGGTTCATATCTCGTGTGAGTCTAGTCTAGTTTAAATTGAGTTCTCTAACATCAAAGGTGTTAACGCGAACTGAAACTCAGTGCTGCAATATCTTGAGCACAAAACACCACATATGTGGGTCTTAACTGCGGTGCAAATAAAATCTTCTGTCAACCCAATCCATCTTCTATTTGCCGGCTGCAATTTTACATAGTATACCATGTAGAGAGCATCGAGTCTATAAGCTCCACTCCCAAGCCTACTCCAGCTTTGGTTCAGCATTAAAAATGTCTGTAATGCTTAATGCGGTATAGAATGTGGTTATAGGACGCGCGCTTAATACGGTATAGTTTGTAGTCGGCGGATTCTCATAAACACGGCAGTCGGCAAGAGGAGATGAAACGGAGTGAGACAGCACAACGGCGAAAATATATCTAGGAATTCTAGAACCCACCCACGATTCGTATGCAATCGTTCATTTTCATTTACTTCGCGAGTGTTGTACAGTGAAAATAAATCAAGATGCTTGAGCAGAGACCGTTAGAGATTTTATTTAAAAAATTGCAACCTGAGGTAGAAATACAAACCAAAACCTGGAATTTAAAAGTTGTCCAGAACATAAGGCTCTAATTAGATGCACAATGATGGGGAGTGATTTTGCAGAAGAAGTTAGCAGTTTTATGGAAAAGTGTAGTGCCGATACATATACCAACTGGATAGTTAGAAGAATGTACAAAATAGTTATTTATGCAATAGTTATTTATGCAACAAGTTCACGAATGTGAATTTTGACGCACGAGCCGAAGGCGAGTGCGACAATCACATGAGTGAAAAAAGGAGCTTTACGCACGTATTGCATAAAAAAAATGTTCTACTACCAATCAAATATGTTTAAAAAATAGATTTAGACAAATACTTCACGCACTAGTGCGTGAAGTATTTTCACTTTACGCACTAATGCGTGAAGTAATTTACCAGAAAAAAACTAAATTGACAGTTGTCAACATCTGTCATTGACATTACTTTACGCACTAGTGTGTGAATTGAATTACTTTACGCACTAGTGCGTGAAGTGAAATTTTACATCTTCTGAATAGTGCGTAAAGTGAGTACTTCACGCACGGTAGTAGAAAAATTGGCTTTTCGCAAAATTTTCAGCACAACAACTTCAACAAGAATTCACAGAAAAGGGGCAGTTCTAATTTGCAGAACAGGAAAAAGATATGCAATGCACAAATCGACATCTTTTTCGCAGTGAGCTCTCTTGTCACAGGAAGGATGATCATGGTTAAGTTTGTTTGCTGCGTGTATCTTTCGCCCAACGACTCCAGTTATGATCTTCTATTTGAAAATCCGTCAAATTCATTTGATTCTATCTTCTATCCAGGATACTTATCCGAAATCCGAGATAAGCCAACTAACTCGATCCTCACCTTAAGCAGGACGCGCACTGGATCGACTTGGACCGGTCGACTCGAAATGGAGCGATCAGAATATCAACATCAGCCGCGCATTCAATTCGCATTGCCGGTAAATGTCCGCCAGTTGTCGAGTATAGACGAGCAGAAGAAGATAAAAATGACGGATTCTTCAGATTCTGACGAAGATTTGATGATAGCTCTAGCGTATCATGAAATTGGAAGAGAAATGTGGAGGCCAATTTCTGAATCCATAATATCGGGTCTTCAAAAAAAAAACCAATCAAAGATTGCTTTGGTTACGAAAACGTACGTCGCATTATTGTTTCTTTATTGGTCAGGATTTTTGACATGACATTTTGACATTAAAGTTCATTGACAAAAATATTGCTAAGACATACGTTTAAAAAACCATAGCAATCTTTGATTAGCTTTTTTTTTGAAGACCCGATATAAATTTGAAAAGGAAGGTCTACGGAGAATTCTACCTTTCATTCCCTGACTTGCTTCGAGATGAGGAAAAGTTTTTTTGAAATATTTTAGAATGTCTAGTGAGAAGTTTTAGGAGGTTTTGAAGATACTACCCCTCCAGAAGCAGGACACAAACTCAGTACAAACCGAAACGTCCCAAAGGCTACACTTAATTTCACACAAAAATCGTCCTTGGCCGTCAGAGCATTCGGCAGTTTTGCCCCTTCAAGCAATCTCCGTTGCGTCGAGTTGAGCACGTCGAGTCGACGAGTTCGATGCCATACGCGGAGTCTCATTTAATTGCATGAGTATCAAAAAATGCCGAATGCTCTTCGCCGAGTCGACCGGTCCGAGTCCAGACTGCGAAGGCCTAAAACTCTCGGTTCTTCGCAGTCTGCAGTTCCCTACGAGGTATTGGAGCAGGAGCTGAGGGTATCACAAACGCACTTCGAATGGAAATCTATTTGTGGTCTGATTTACCCAAAGGGGCAAACACATCGATCTTGTAAGGTAACCATGATCATCCTCTCTGTGACAAGAAAGGTTACTGCGAGAAAAGACGCCAGCCAGGACGTATAGGAGATGGATTGGGTTCACAGAAGATTTTACTTGCGTCTCCGTTAAGACCAGCATAATAATATGTGGTTTTTTGTGCTTAAGATCTTATTGCAGCTCTGAGTTTAAGTTAGCGTTGGCGTTAATAACTTTGATGTTAAAAAACTCAATTATTAAACTAGACTAGACTCACACGAGATGTGAACCCCGGAGGCCTTTGTTGCGAATTTGATTATGTAAGTCTTCTCTCCAGCTTTTTTTGGGTATTGATATTTATATTTCTCGTAGCGTTGAATATTCCCATGGGTATATGCTCATGATATGACATTTTCTTCTCCATAATTTGAGAACCACAGTCGATCTCTTTGCCCTGAACCCAAATTGCTCTGCTTTCACATGTTTATACTCATCTCCATTTGTCTTTCCTGTTATTTTTCCGTGGATTCAACTCGGCGTACTGGCCACAAAAATATCTCTATAATTATGCCAACTATCTTCTTTTTCTTTTTTGTGAATTATGAGTATATTATAATAAGAAGTTTTCCGTTTCTCTGGAACATTGGTTCCGTTCAAGTATTTCTAGGACAGATTTGGTATTCGACAAAATAAATATTCTAATCCATGTGCCATACTTATTCAAGTAATTCTACCGGAATATAACCTAGTCCAGAGGCTGTTCTTGGAGATTTATCCCTAAAGGTTTATTTTTTTAATGCTCTGTTTGCAGTTCTGTAATATTATTCACTCTGACTCCTTTTTTCGCACAAGCATGTGTCTGCTTTTATCCTCCATTTCCTCCTCAATCTCTTAATCTCATAATCCCACCAGTATGACTCCCTTCTCATGTACGAAGAATGTATCCAGATGCTCTTACTTTTCCACTACTTCCATACTTATTAACCTGAAGAGCTCTGGATCTTTGATACTCCATATAAGATTGGTATGAGATAGGTATCAGAGCGGTATCAGGCTTAACAAAAGTATGACACAAACTGGAATATCATCTGCGAAACATTTCAAAACATACAAATGGCTTGCACTCATAAAAACCTTATTCTCTGAGTTCATTCAGAAAAAGGTCCACGAGTCTCACCAGAAGAAACAAAGCATGCTTCAACCTATTGAAAAGGCGTCGGTGAAAATATCCCTCATGTCGCCGGGTGAATGTTGAATTTTTAGATTATGTCAGAGAAGGACTATATGTGAATAGGTAAGACGAAATAAGCCTTAGTGCTTCAAAATTTCGGCTCCAATGATTTGATTCGTATGGTACTGGCTGATCTAAAATGCCAATCAATTAAACTCAAACTTGATTTCAAAATACTTTATTGTAAAAACGTTGTTCAAAATTTTACAAGACATAATTCGAATAAGTAATTGTTTAATCCAACATTATAATCTTTTTATCCATATTCAACTGTGGCTTTGGGAAAACAAAACTTTTCATATTTTCGTTCAGTTCTTCTAGAGCTAATTGAGCTTGTAACCTGAAACGAATAGAAAGACGATAAATTAGTAAAATTTATTTGTCAATTAGATCTATCAATCAAACAAAACGTTCTCTGTACTCCACTGTATATCATGTAGGTTGAGACTGAAATCGCCAAGAACAATACACTTGCAAGACTCAGAAGTCAAAAACATTTTTTAGTTCCCCTAATGCAGCACATTCCAATTTATTCATTATTTATTGAAATTTCCAATGATTTCTGGAAAAGAAATAAGTAAATATACAACTGTCTTGACATTAGCTTTCCAAGAAAAATAAGCAAGATTTCAATAAAATTGTTTAACAGTGAACTGATTAGTCAAAATCAGGTTCAATTAAAAACAAGTGCTTTAAGTTTAAAGAGATAATTAGTGACCATACAATAAAAATAACAACTTTGGAGGGTTACAATAATGCCGAAGAAGTTTGTCGGCTCCTAAGCCATCAATTACCACCTCAATCAAGATACAGCAAAACACGAACAACCTACTCACTAATTACCATTATGTTGCAATAGTAGTAGTAGCCCTTGTCATAATCATTTACAACCAATCAGATATCGTAACCTACCTCATAACGTCGTCCTTATCGTTATAATAAATCTGCTTCAACGTCCTGTAAATGTGAAGAATCTCGTCTTTCAGAAACGCTATCATTTCACTTTCTAAGCCGACCAACAGCTGTCTAATAACTGTAACGGCCGCTCTTCGAACTTCCACAGCCTTGTCCGTGGCAATGATGGCGTGAACGCACACTAAAACCTTTAAAAAAAATAATAATAGTCATCAATTACTTTATGAATAATGTCTATAATTTTGGTTTAGTTGGGTACAGTTCGTGGGTGGTTATGGTTTTGAAGGTATAATTTAACGCGTATGAATATAAGGATTTTTAGGTCGCAGTCAGAGGCTTAACTGTAACCTTAAGGTTATTTATAATGGAAATGACTTAAGATAAACTAGATGTTGTCTAGTCTATATTTAGCTGGGCAAGTTCAATGGGTGATTGAAAGTTATTACACGACTGCGGTTGATGTATAATTAATTTCATGAACATGTGGTTTAATAGAACAATGTTTTTGAAATATAGGCTATCAATCTATACTGCTTAGATTAGAAATTATGACATTCGGATTGATGCATTTTTATTGAAATCAAAATTTATAGTTGAGTCAAATCCAAGCGGCAATAATGACATTAAATAACCTAAATTGTAAACAAACACCAGCTGGTAATCCAGGGCTGGAACTCTGTAACGGATGAGGATCGTTATCCCTATCGCTATGGCACTTGCTGTCTTCTTCTTTCTTGTCGAAATCACTAGAGAGGAGACGTCAATAGAGATAGAGAAAATATCTCTATTCGTTACAGAGTTCCAGCCCAGTCTTCTTATTGGTTGAAACGTCCTACCAGGACCAGTGCGCTAGTGCGCATGCATGGAGGACATTTGATAGGTTGCAATGAAAGTGACTAGTTATAATGTCATTACTGCCGCTTGGATTTGATTAAAAGGTAGTTCGGTACTGAACTTTGCCAGAAAAACTGGCATTTTTATGGATTAGGTCATTGCTATTGCATCCAGGCTAAACTGAGACATCAATTATTAGTCTCGGATCATTATCAACGTCACTCAAATGAACTATTTAATGCAAATTATTATTCTACTTAAGGTTTATCTAATGTAAAATTATGTTATCAATTAATGCATATTTATAATTATTGCACTTTATAAAGGCGGCTGAATGCATTTTTAAAATCACAACAATGTCCCGAGTCAAATTTATCGTATGCCTAGTGGGCTTCTTGCTCGGCTACAATTCAGCTGCGGTAACTCAGAGACGAGCGGCCACGTGGAATTTACAAGGATCGTCCGCCGCCACCGAAGGTAACCATTAAAATTTCAAATAAAAATTTGCAAAATAGTTTATTGTAGCAAAATGGACTAACAACGTTAGGCAATTGGTTGTCGGTTCTAATGCCGCCTCTGTGTTGGCTTTACAAGAAGCCGGCACTCCTCCAGCGTCGGCACAGCTACAAGGAAATTTGGGTGAGTTGATTTGATAATGAAGTTTTCTGGAATTTTCCAGAACATTATTTAATTGTCGTGAAGGCAAGTGAATCATGTGAGGTCAGTGTTATTCATATATTAGCCCAATAAATCTAAATAAATCTTGAATTGATTTGGTTCTGTTGATTTTGATATACACGCAGTCTCTTCAGTTGCTGGATAATTTTTTGTTTGAGAGACAATCAAGAGCCGGTAATAATTAAAATTTTGATTATTATGGATTCTGGATAATTTCTCCATTATCGATTCTGGAACCTCGAACGAAATCCAGAAAATGGAAGTTGATTTCAACTTCGCAGTTCGCCAATCGAAAAACTGAATCAAATGGGGCCGAAATTAAATCATCACCTTTTTTTCTAGGCAATCGCTTATTGGACCCCCAAGATTTACGTCAGCAAGTGTACGAATACAAATGGAACCTCGGTTCCGCTTCCAGGCCCGACTACAGATGGATTTACTACACCCAAAATGATTTGGGTGCCAACCGAGTCAACTTAGCTCTAGTAACAGCCGTAAAGCCTGATCACGTACTAATTTTGAGACCTCCTGGCGACTACAAAAGCGTCAGGCCTATATTGGGGGTCCAATTCAACAAGGACAACTATTTTACTATTCACGCCAGCGCTAGTGGAGGGGGCGATGCTGCTTCCATAGTGAACGTGATTGCCAATTATTTCGGTTCTCGTCAAGAGTACGATCATCAATTTATGATTATGGGGGACTACAATAGGAGTCCTGCAGAGCTCAGGGCTGCTTTGCAAAGGCAACATCCCGATATTCTTAATCACGTTGGAATATACGCTCCTGCGACTAAAACTCACAGGAACGGTGGCATTTTGGATTATGCGGTTATCGGACAGTACAGCTACGATTTGCCGAATCGAATTGCGGTCTACGCTGTGACTCCGAGTTTGAGTGGACAATTGGTTTCTGATCATACGCCTGTTGTATTCAATGTTGCTCAAAGAGACGAATAATACTATAATATAAATTTAATTATTTAATAAAAAAGTTAGATGAGATGGTACCTACCTTTAATGGGGAATGATCTAGAAATTAATAAAAAGTTTGATTTTATGATTGATTCTGGGGCAGATATTAAATGTATTCCTGTATAACGACTTTCGAGATGCCACATGCAGAAAAGTTACAGGTCCTTCAGGAGCAAATTTTAGTGTTTTGGGAATTCGAATTTTTCGATAATTTTCCGACAAAATCCTACTGGGTTCTTCTCATGGGTCTTCCACGTTGGCGTATAGGTCGTACTAGTGTTGGAACTTCTCCTTTTCCCACATAAGGTGCCATAGGTGACGTATGTAATTTGATGGTGGGACCTTCAGTTGGCTCTATAGGTTTAACTTCAATTGTTGTTGGAGTGACAACCTTAGTGACTTTATATGGACCATCACGTCGTGGAGCAAATTTTGATGTATAGGCATCTTTGGCTTTGCTAATTGGGTGTGTATCCACCATCACTCGATCTCCCTCTTTGTAATGGGGAATAGTTTTTCTCCTTTGGTCAGCATAATGTTTTGATTTATCTTGGGACGTTTCATGGAGCTCTTTTGCTTCTCTCAAGGTTCTAGCAATATGTATCAAATAAGGGGTAACTTGAGGAATGAAATTTTCACTTTCAGTGATAGCTCTCATGTCCTTTTCTATATCATCGGGTGTGCGGAGCTCTCGTCCAAATGTCAGATACTGTCACATCTTGAGGTGTTCATGGCAAAACGCACATAGAGTAGTTTATTTTTCCTTTGAGTGTGACAGCCTCCTACTAGAATTGATAGTTGGATTTTCAAGTCGCGGTTTTTCCGTTCCACAGGATTAGACTCGGCATGATACACAGGTATTAAGTACTAATGAAAACCAACACAATGTGCTACATACTGCATAGTTTCACTAACAAATTGGACTCCATTGTCGCTGGTTACCCTTCAGGGAACTCCCTATCTGAAAATCACCTCATCAACAAGAGTTTGCGCACAAGCTTTGGCAGTAGCATGTGCGAGCGGAAATATTTCTATCCATCTGCTGGCAGTGTCTTCGATTATAAAGATCCATTTTTCACCAGTATCCGTTTCAGGAAGAGGTCCAAAGAGATCTATAGATATTACTTCAAATCGCTTGGCCATTGTGTGGTTTTATCAATACCATAATGACCAGTTAAGGGGTAATCGTGGTATTCTTCTAGAATTTCAGGAATCATGCTTTTCGGTACCACTAATTGTATTTCTTCTTGGATCTCACTCTCAGGATCATAGCGATACAAGATTCCTTCGGTCATACTGTAACCACGGTTATTCCATGTCTTAAATTCCACTGATTCAGGATTCGGTGATTGGAAACAAGAAATTATTTTTAAAACATCTGGTTCTTCTAACTGTTTCCTTCTAATGTCTTTTTTTTCTGGGTAAATTAACAACAACTTCATCAAAAACAAAGCCCATCGAGCTAATCGGCCACTAGGTGATTTTAAAGACATTAACCACTTCAATGCCTGGTTGGTCAGTCTGGATAATGAATGTAGCTCCATCCAGGTAGCCTCTGAATTTCTCCACAGCCCACACAACTGCTAGAGCATCTCTTTCTGTAGTGTGATAGTTCATCTCAGCAGGTGTGAGTAGTCGCCTTGCATATTCAACAGGTCTTTCATCGGCTTTCTCCCCTTGCAGTAAAACTGCCCCTGAAGCGTATGAGCTAGCATCAGTTCTGAGTATATAAGGCAATGTACTATCAGCCTGTCGGAGAATGGGATAAGTACTCAAAAGTTGTTTTATAAGGTCGAAAGAATCTTGTTCTTTCTTCTCCCATTTCCAAATAGCTTTCTTCTTGGTTAAGGAGGCTGAGGGCTTTGAAACTTCTGCAAATGAAGAAATGAATCGCCGGAACCAAGAGCATGTTTGGACAAAGGACAAAAGCTCTTTCACATTTTTGAATTCCTTGGGGTTTAATTATGTGTCCCAAATACTTCACAGAGGAGCACACAAAATGGCATTTGGATCGATTGAGGTGAAGCTTGAAAGCTACAAGTCGGTCAAAAACTCGTTGTAAATCAGAAAGGCGTTCTTGGTTAGTTCTGGATAATGCAATCGAATCGTCTATACATATAAGCTTATATAGTAAAATCTTCGAGTCCGAACTTGATACGATCAATGAGTCTTTGGAACGTAGAAGGTGCATTTTTCATTCCAAATGGCAGCCTCGTATAACGGAAAATTCCAAATGGGCAAATAAATGCTGTTTTATCTCGATCAGATTCGCGGACAGAGAATTGATGTTATGCTGATTTTATATCAAGAGTTGTCCTATACTTTGTTTGTTTTGCAGTGTGTAATAGATCATCAATCCTAGGAAGTGGGTATTTATCGGAAACTGTTTTCTCATTTAGGCTTTGATAATTGACACAAAGGCGAATACTACCATCAGGTTTAGGTACTAGAACAACTGGAGCAGTATACGAGGATTCGCATTCTTCTATGATTCCATCTTTCAGAAGCTTATCCAGCTCTGCCCTCAATCCCAGATGCTTGCATGTAAATTTCGAAAAGATTTTTTTATTTCCTGAAATTAACTGCTACATCACCCTCTGATGAAAGTTTTTTTGGCGGTCGCAAGCCCTCCATTTTGTTAATATGTACTTCAGAAATCCTAGACGCTTACATGTAAATTTCGAAAAGATTTCTCCATTTTCTGAAGTTAGCTGCTAGATCATCCTCTATTGAAAGTTCTTTTGGTAGTCGCAAGCCCTCCATTTTTTTATTACTCCAACTGCACTTTTTTTTTAACTATCTCATCCGACTGCGCCATGTAATAAATTATTGATCAAATAATAACAAGTTTATAATTACTGATTTAGTTTATTGAACACAATTTTAACCTCTACATCCATGTCCCTTCCCTCCTGGGCCAGGATCACGATAAGTAGGATTCTAGTTTCATGACGGCACCCACGACCTATTTATCGCGTACAGTCCAGGCGATGATGACGTTATGAAAGTAGAATTCTACTTGTCGTGATCCCAGCCCCAGACCATTGAACTAAACAAACAATCTGGAACGGGCGCACTGCTTTATGCTAGTGTGCCGAATTTTGATATATGCAACCCAGCAATACAGAGGGATTGTTGTCTCGCTCGCACTCATTGCGATTAACGTAAAAGAAAGAAGAGCTTCATCATCTTCCTAACCTCAATGATCAAAACACTTCAAACAGCTGTTCTCAATAGCCGCCATAGTGCAGAGAGAGATGCTAATCCCACTTGTTTGTTGTCCTTCCTGGCACAAACCCTTGCATGAGAGACATTATGCAGCCACCGTTCCAGTGTGTTTGTTTAGTTCATTGCCCCAGACACTGCCTTCTGTCAACTCTATACTCCGAAACCTAACCTACTTATAGGCAACCACAACCATATAAATAATAAACAGGTATTCTTATGACATCTTACACTGTTCTGACGACGATGAAATTTTTGGAAATAAGAAGAAAGATTATTTATTTAAAATTCCATGTTTTTCTGAGCATATGAGCCATAACAGATTTCTCCTGATTATGAGATGTCTTCGTTTTTAAAAAAACCCTGAAGCAGGGGAACCAAAACCTCAAGATCGCCTTTTTGAAATAAGACCGGTAATTGACTGCTTCAATAACAAAATGAATTCGGTATTTTATCCTGGTCGAGAGCCTATAGCTATAATAGCCTTGATGAGTTGATGATTTTGTGGCGTAGACGGTTAGATTACATCAAAAACAAACAGCACAAATATGGCATCGAATTGTACCTACATGGTAACGTCGCCTAATGGAATAATTTTAAAATTTGCTGTTTATACAGGTGTGCTAGATGATATGGGAGGAAAAGGACATTCCGCAAACGTTGTGTTACACCTTATGAATTGTTACAGAATGGCCACTGACTATATTATTATATGGACGATTTCCATAATAGGTATGACCGTACAAAACAGCTATTAGAAAAGAGAACAAAGTGTACGGGAAAACTAAGAATTGACAGAAAAGATAATCCAACAGAAGTTAAATATACAAAATTTAAGAAAGGTGAAAATGTGGCCAAGTATTGTAATGGAGTTTTGATTGGTAGGTGGAAAGATAAAAGAGACTGTTAAAGAACAATGGTATAAATCTAGTAAGTACAGTAGGTGTTTTTTTTTTCACTGACGTGTGTGTCAAGATGGTATCAACTATCAAGTTATCATCATAAGGCGGTTACACACGGGCGTGGATGGCTTGATACAAATACGTGCATACATCAACGTGCAGAAAACTGCAATCTTGCTACTCTTGCTACAGTGTTCCGAGTGTGCATACAAAATTTCTAGCGATTCCAGAATTCACTTGAGCGTCATTCTACCTTTTGCTCATTCAAAAACGCGACGGTATTTTGCATACACATTGATGTTTTTGTTTGCGCGTACATGTATGTGCGTACATGTTTTCAGACATCCCCGCCCGTGTGTAACCGCCTATAAGTCGTAGTTTTTGTAATGTGGCTTGTCATCAAAACAAATAATTAGTTGTTCAATGTTCAATACAGACTTAATTTTTATGATGGAGCAGAACCAAGGTACATTGGTTAAATTAATCGGCAATGAAAACTGGGAGTTCCAGACAAGAGTCATGTTAAAAAGGAGAGAACTTATTGAGGTTACTGTGGTGGAAAACAGAAACCTTCATCTGCAGGAGACCTTGAAAGTTGGCTCAAGAAAGATGCGAAGCCTCAAGAATTAATTGTTTTAAAAGTCGAGCAAAGTCCGTCAACCCATCTATTGTCATTTGAAATGTGGACCAAGTGAAAGTCAATTTTTGAGAGGGAATCCCAAGTAAGCGCATATTCACTGCAGCAAAGGCATTTTAATACGTCCTTCAGTGAGAATATGACTGTGACCGATTTTATTTCGCATCTTGAGGAGTTAAAGACCAAGCTGAAACAAGCTGGAGAGAACTGTCTGAGAAAATGTTTATAACAAAAGTGTTGATGTCACTTCCAAAGAGGTTTGAGCATTTAGGAGTGCATGGGAGTCCGTTCCTGAGCAAGATCACACTCTGTAGATTGTAGATTATGTACACTTGGCGTGATTGAAGACTGAAGCTGGGTTTGAGACAAGTCCAGAAGGGCGTTTCCCAATAAAGGAAGTTTGCACTGGAACTAGTCTGCTGCGTTCAATACTACCAGAAGGGCATTTCCCTATAAAGGTAGTTTGCACTGGGAGGAGACTTAGCTAGAGGGGCTTTTCCCAATTGAGGCCTTAGTCAGCCGGTAATGGATGTCGGCGCGGTATTTATACCAAATTTATGCTGACTCGTCGACACACTTTAATAAAATTGATGTACAGAGTGGTAGTAATTTGACAATATAAATCTACTGAAGAGCACACTGCTTTAACTGCTGGGTGTAGCTAAGGAAATTTTTGAAAAAGTGAGAACAGAGAGTGTTTTGCATGCCAGAAAGTTCATCAAAAAGCAACCAAAAAGTGAAAGTTGGAAATGAGGACCTGCTATAAGTGAAAGGAGTTGGAAGTATAAGAGTTTTGACCTACACTGGAGATTATGAAGTTTTCTATGTACCACAGCTGAAATTTAAACTGTTTTCTGTGGATCGAGCCTTGGATAAGGGTTTACGAATGATCTCAGATGATAATGAATGCACAATTGTAAATAAGAAGGGTGATGTTTGTGCTATGGCAACTAGGGAGAATAAAATTTACAAGCTAGTTTTTTATCAATAAAAATGGGAAAGAAAAAACTATCAACCCTAAGCTCAATACAAAGAGTAGGTAGTTTTCTAGATTGCAACAATGTTGAAAGTGTGGAGAGTTTAAGCATCTGCCATAGGAAAATGGCACATCAAAACTATGCTCATGTGGAAGATGTATTGAAGAGGCACAATATCCCTTTTGTCAACGATAATGAACTATGTGAACAATGCTTGGCTGGTAAGCAACATAAATTTTTATACTTGAGTAGTCAATCTAGAGCCACCAAACCTTAAGAATTGGTTCATGCAGATGTATGCGGCCCTATAGAGGTCAAATTTCTGGGCGGTTCTAGGTATTTTTAATCATTGAAGGATGATTTTTGTCAAATAGGCATGTGTGTTTTTCACGTAACGTAAACGTAAAGATTAGGTCCAAAGATATACAGGAAAATTTATAGCTATGGCAAAGAATTTTTGAGGAGAAAAGGGATAAGACATCAGTGTTCAGTTCACACCAGAACAAAATGACCGAGCTGAAAGGGAGATGCGAACCTTGGTGCAAGCAGCGAGACTATGTTAAATGGTGGATAAAGAAAATTATGGGATGAATGCATCAACTGGGCAGTGTATGTACTGAATATATCAGGAAGCGCACGCCAATTAAGAGTAAATTTCCATGTGAACTGTGGACAAAACAAAAAGCAGAGTTGTCAAATTTGCACATATTTGGTCATCAAGTATCTGTACATGTTCCAAAGGTAAAAAGATTGAAATCGGATGTAAAAAATAAAATTAGCGTGGTTGTTGGATATTGAAAGTAGAAAAATACAGAGATGTCGTTTTCTTACCTGAGCTTCCAAACAATACGGAGAGTGAGCAGACTACTCCACAACAAGAACCTAACAAGTTTGTTCAGTCAAAAGTACAAGAAACTGACCTTGAAGAGAAGAGGAGGTTTTGCAGAATGATGGACGCTCAACTTGAAGATGGAGTCGAAGATGAAAATTCTAATTATCAAGAAGACGAAAACATTGAGGTAGTTGAGCGAGATAAAACGAGAGATGGTCAAGAAAGATACAACTTAAGACTAGTTATTCATAAACATTGTGCATTATCAAATGACTACATACTAACTGCAGCAGCAAGTGTTGTTGAAGGTGAACCATCGACTTATGAAGAAGCTATGAATGGAAGTGAGGCTACAAAATGGGTAATAGCGGTAGAAGCAGAAATCAGGTAGGTTCTTTGAGAAGAACGACACATAGACAGTGATAAAAGCCAGTAGCAGTGGCAAAACTATACAGTCCAAGTGGATGTTTAAGAGAAAAAAAGATGAAATTTCAACAGACTGAAGGTATGTCTTTAGATAATATCTATAGCCGTGGGGCTAAGTTAACCTCCATAAGATTTTTTCTAGTTATTTGTAATCAGTATAAACTGCCCATTTTTCAGTTAGATGTTTGTAGTGCTTTTCTTTTTGGGGAGATTAATGATGATATTTTTATTATATTGCTTGAAGGTTTTAAGGAAAAGTAAACAAAAATTGGTGAACTGCAGAGATCACTGTATGGATTAAAAAGTTCTCTCAAGAATTGGAATTTAAAATTTCAAAACTTTATGCAATCTTTAAACTTTAAAATATCAGAATTTGAATATTGCTTGTATACAAGAATATCGGAAAATTTTAGGATATGTGGATGATCTTTTACTATCTGGTACAGATTCAAGAGAAACTGAAAGAAGGTTTTGAAATGAAAAAGTTTAATATGCAAGACTGCAAACCTTCTAAAACACCAATGGATTTTAATTTTAGTCATGATGTTTTGAAAAGAAGTAGTTCTGAGAGTTCTGAAATTGAACATAAATGTAGGATATTTGTATATCTATATTGATATCTGTACAAGATCAGATTTATGTGTTTGTATAAGTGTTTTTAGCAGATATCATTCTTGTGCTTCGTTAGAATTATTTCAAGCGCTTAAGAGAGTATTGCGTTATATTCAAGGTACTTTAAGATTATAGTTTAGTGTATAGGGGACAGGAAGTTATTGATAAAAGCGATACTATTGTTGTTTTTAGGAAAATCAGCAGCTTTTTATATTTTATCAGATACGTCTCAACAATATAGTTTCGGTTATTTGTTACGCATCTCTAGATTACTGTCAAAAGCGCTGACTTAGGTTGTTGAAAAATTTGCAGAATACATATCAAGAATTAAAGTATTGCTAAAGACTGATCATTCCCCTCTCGTTCAAACTTTACATACCACACCACTGACTCCTAGACTACAAGGATTTAGACAAGTGCAGTCATACACCAAGGAAACATCAAACATGCAACGTGCGACATGAAGTAAATAAATACCGCAGGTAGACTTATGCCGCATATTATATCCAATGTAAAAACGTATACAGTTCTCGGGTTCATCGTACATCGGTGCAGCGCACGCAAAGAACGCCTGTGTCTTGCAACATAAACCGCATGTGATTTTTTGTATGCATCTTTCGCTTTTCGCTGCAGTATTTGTCACGCATTTGGGTAGAAAAGATCAGACTTTTGTTAATTAAAATGGCTATCAATCCAGCTTTTAACATACATTTTGTTAGAGTGATCAAAAAGCATCCTTGCATTTGGAATTATAGTTTAACGGAGTACAGCAAACGCAATTTAACAGAAAAAGCATGGGCGAATGTTGCTAATGAAGTAAAAGAATCTGGTGAATATAATAATAGTTTATTTTTCATATATGCATATTAAAAAATTGTACAGTTATCAGCAAGTTAGTTAATCTAATAAACTATGCGTATTTCCATTGTATATTGGTATTGATGTGCCATAAAATGTTCAGCTAATGATTTATCAAGTTGTTTCACGATACCTATTTTGAATTTCATTTATGTGTGGAAGAATTTCATTGTTTTTGAAATGCGTTGGACTGGTGAATTTTCCTTCCGGCATTCTAATAAAATTATGTAAAATTCATGCGACTTTCACAATTTTATTATCCGAGGTTTCTTCCTCACAACATATTGGTCCCTCGAAAATAAGAAATTTAAAAGAATGTTTTCTTTTTTTTTTTCAGTATCAAACTGTCGTGAACGTTGGCGAAATATAAGAGGAGCATTCCTGCGATCTCTGAAAAAACCACCAAGCGGATCTGGTGCAAGTGCAAAAAAAAAATATTACCTAGAAGAATTTTTGCATTTTCTATTACCCTATATAAAAAACAGATCCGATGATAGCAATTTGCAATCTGTTACCGACTCCGTTGAAGATTCTGAAGATGAAAATACCGATTATATGGATCATCCTATGGAATCACAAGTGGTCCAGGAAAATCAAGACAGTAATACAGTACCATACTCGCTTGATGAAGAATCTTCGCTAGATCTACCTGATGACAAATCCTTTATTTTAGCACAAAAGCATTGTACTGTCACAAAGAGAAAATATTCTCAAAATGTTTCGGCACCTTTGAATCCCGCTGATGATGATTTTATCGAATGGAAGAAATATAAAGAGGATAGCAATTCCAATGTAAACGAGCATCCTAATATGCTATTTTTACGCAGTTTGTTCCCAGACCTCATGAAAATGACGGATAAGCAGAATAGAAGGTTTCGCCAAAAAGTTATAGGGTTAATAGATGATATAATTGAAGATAAGGATATTGTCTCGTCATAAGCATCAAATATAACTTCACCATCATCTAGTGTTTATTGTCCAAGAACAAATTCAAAATGTACAGCATGCAAACCTCCGGAATTTCAGTGCAGGGTCCGATACCAAGCCCGAATGAATCAAGATTCGAATGGTCAGTGGAGGAACAGGAAAATAATAACGGATATTTACACAGTTTAATGACTAATCAAAATAAATAGTTGGTGATAGGTTTGTTTAATAATTACAAGAAGCGATATGTTTTTTCTATGAAAATACATACCTTAATGTTACTAATAAACGTTCTTTGGAGAAATCGCCTCTCGATAGTTTGTGTTCAATTTTTCTATTCTTTTCAGCAATACAATACTCTAAAACTTTGCTGATTCATTCTATAAAATTCTTTAAATTTTTCCGGATAGAAAGCCAGTTGTTCCGGTACAGCAGTTACTGGATTCACCTATCATATATATGAATATATGATGGGTGAATCCAGTATTAACAGATTTTTTTAAGTTACGTCAATTTCGCAAAAATTACCAAGCTACAACCACATCCTCCTCGCTTGACGACATTTTTGGAGTTTAATAACTCCACGACTACTAAATTATCATTGAAATAAGTACTACTTCCAGTAAAAGAAACTCAGGGTACGATCCTTCTACCAAAACAAGAACTCCAGGGCGCACAAATTAACGAAACTCTCACATCTGCTTGTAATCAACTCGCTTGGACAGAAATGTCAACACAACCAATGAAAAACTTCAGATAGCTCTGACAAGTGCAGTCACTAGCACGCAGTTGGACCTTGTTCAGTTTCATATCTACACTGCGGATCTAATTTCACAGGAATCTCCGTCAGCAAACGCGATTTCTGGCATGCTGACTACGAAGAAATAAATACCTTTCTGCAACATCAACTAACCCAAGAAGAACCATTAAACTACAACAACCTAGAAGCTGCCCTCCATACAACTATAGACCACTTCATCCCCCTAAAATCCAAAAAAACAAATACTCAAAAGCTCTGGTTGAACAAAGGGGTGTTCAGGGAAATCAAGGAGAAAATATATCTATGGCACAAGTACAAGAAAAATCAAACAGAAGAAAGCTATTCTCTGTACCGTATTCAGAACAAAATACTACATCTCAGAGACACGAAAAAACTATGAGCACAACCTTCTAGGCTGGCCCCGACATACATTTTCAGGCATAATTATGTAAATCGTAGCCTCAATTCCAAACACGCCAATTTCAGCCTAATCGGAAAAAATACTATTATAATTGACACACAAGAGGATGTGGCCAGGTCCTTCGCTGCACAGTTCCAAAGTATTTATGTGAAACCTCTCAGTACTGACACTACACCTGCTCTGCCACCGAACACCTATTCACAGATGGAAATATCGGAAATAACGTTTACACCTGAAAAAGTGATGGCCGCCATGGGTTTCCTCAAGACCGACACCAGCCCTGGATCGGATCAAATTTCTGCAGTATTTCTGTCACAGTGTAAAGAGACACTATGTAAGCCATTATCGGAGGCAATGAATGACATATTTCGCACAGGGCATTTTCTTGAGATCTGGAGGAAGGCTATCGTTGTTCCACTATTTAGGAAAGGCAACAAACAGCTACCTGAAAACTACAGGCCAGCAAGTTTAACTAGTGTCATATGTAAATGCATGGAGAAAATACTAGTAGGTGCGCTAACAACCTTCTTCCTGGACAACTTTATCATCCCCAATGCACAGCATGGCTTCCTTCCTTTTGACCAGACTGCAGAAAAGGACCTATGCTGATGATAACGAACAACCCATAGATGTTGTGTACGCGGACTTCGAGAAGGCTTTTGACAAGATCCCCATCAGCCTGCTGATCTACAAACTTCAGCACTACGGTGTTAGAGGACAGCTTCTGCGGTTCATCAGCAGCTTCCTTCGGTCTCGAACATTTCAGGTACGAGTGGGATCGGCAGTGTCGGAGGAGCTCAGTGTTTACAGTGGTGTGCCGCAGAGCTCAGTTCTGGGACCCCTGCTGTTTACCTGAGTGACTTGTATGCGGGTTTGAAGACAAACCCTCTATTTTTTGCCGATGACACAAACCTATTGTGTAATCCCATAGAGCAATTCAATGACCTCCAGGACGACCTCGGAACTATCAAGGGCTGGAGAATGCCTCTTAACAGCACAAAGTGCACCATTCTTCAAATAAGCCAAAACAACCCAAGACTTACATATGTCCTTGGTCAAACAGAGGTTACCAAAGTTGAACGCCAGAAGGTTTTGGGTGTCAATATAACAGATAATTTGAAATAGGAACAGCACCTTTCCCATATAGTCAAAAAGGCAAATACCCTCCCCTCATTTACCTCATCAAAACCTCTTTCCGAGATCATTCCAGCATGATGATCCTGAAGCTGTATAAGACATATGTAAGACCTAAACTGGAGTACGGGCAGTGCATCTGTAGCCTCTACTACATCAAGGATATAGAAATCCTTCAAAGAGTGCAAGGAAGAATAACCAAACTACCTCCAGAGCTTGGAGACCTCCCATACGAAACCAGGCTCAATGGGCTAAACTTGACTAAACATAGAGAGAGAAGGCTCAGAGGTGACCTTATTGAAACCTTTAAAATCACGAGTGGCCACTACGGTTGTAGCCCGGATATGTTTCACCCTAGTCAAGTTGAAAACCTTAGAGGTTACAACAAAAAAACTCCATAAAGAACGTTGTTACAAGTTGCTGCGAAGAAATTTCCTGACTAACAGGATTGTGTATACCTGGAATAATCTAGCGGAGGACACTATGAATTCGACCTCACTGAACCATTTTAAGAACAGACTAGATGTTGAAATGAAACAATGATCAAATCATCTCGTGCATTATATGTGATACCACTGTGATAGAAAAATTGACTGTGACCAATAATATATGTATAAAAAAAAAACAAACATTAATATTTAAGAAAACGGAACTGTAATTAAATCAATAGTCTCATCGGGTTTCTACCTGCTTACTATTGTGAATTATATAATAATAATAAAATAATAATAATAACAATAACACATGGCAAGAGTTCTGAAATCAGAACTAATCACCTAAATTCAGAGGAAGAAAAAGAAATACAAAAATTACGTAGGAAGTATGCAGACATTTGCCCTTATCCAGACATTTCCCTGACCTTTACAAACCAGATCATACACCCTATTAAAATAAAAGTCGAAATTTCAGTGTACAACACGAAGTCATATAGATATCCACATATCCATGAAGAGGAAGTGAAAAACTAGATATCTTCAATATTGGATCAAGGAATTATCAAACCAAGAAAGTCACCTATTGGTCTTCCCTGATATGGATAGTTCTAGAAGAAAACAGACGCCTCTGGAAAAATAAAATGGCGGAAAGTAGTGTACTATAGGAAAGTAAACAAGAGAACTATCGCCGATAAATACCCAATTCTAAATAAAGGGTGTTTTTTTTAGAGGTATAGAACTTTGAACTGGAATAAAACTCATAAAAATCATGTAAACGGCCATGATATTGACTTTATTAGAAAGTTAATTTCATGCCATTAGTGCTTAAAAATGATTTGGGGCATATGAGCGCCGCGACTGGCTCGAACGAAGCTCAGTCTGGGAGTCCACTTTTGGACCACTTTTTCGAATATCTGGGAACGTTAATCGGCAATAACACGGCAAATGTTGGCTTCCAGCCGATTCCACGTTGTTGGTTTATTACCGTAGACTAGCGACTTCACATATCTCCACAGAATTGAATCCATAGGTGTGAGATCACACCTCCGTGGAGGCCAATTCACAAGTTCATTGCGCGAAATTATACGGTCATCGAATGTTTCCTGAAATAAGTTGATTGTGTCACGCGCTGTGTGGCATGTTGCACCATCTTGTTGGAACCAGAACTCTTCCACACTAACGCCATTCAACTGGGGAACAAGAAAGTCAGTAATCAAGAATCGATACCGCTCTCCATTGACTATCGCCTTCTGGCTGCCATCATTTTTAAAGAAATATGGGCCAATGATTCCACTAACCCAACAAGCACACCAAACAGTTTTTCTGGATTATGAATCAGAGTATGCGTAGTGCAAAAACGAGTCATGTTTGTCCGAATAACTTGCTGGGATGGACGATTAGGTCGACCGTAAAATGGACGTAACGCACATAGCGGAGTTTCGCGAAATGAATCACGATTTTCGAAGTAAATTTGTACAATTTGCAAGCGTTGCTCTGGCGTAAGTCTTTTCATAATGAAATGGCAAGATATAATGAACAGAAATGAGCTGTCACCTGTCAAATTTACTGTCACTAGGAACAGTGTTACTAGGTAGAAAAACAAACCTTTAAAAAAAACACCCTTTATAACAGACATTTTGGACGAACTTGGAAGATGCCAATATTTCACGACCTTGGATCTGGCAAGTGGATTCCACCAAATCGAACTGGCTAAGGAAGATATATGCAAAACTGATGCTTCCAATGTCGGAAATGGTCATTACCGGATGCCGTTTGGACTAGAAAACGCTCCAGCTACGTTCCAGAGAGTAATGGGAAACGTTTTGAAAGACCTCCAAGGAGTAAATTGCTTAGTGCACATCGACGATATCATTGTGTTCAGCACATCACTTCAAGATTATCTGGTTTATCTTTCAAAGAACTTCCAACGCCTCAGAAAAACTGGATTCAAAATTCAAATGGACAAATGCATGTTCCTAAAAAAGGAAATTAGTTTTCTTGGACATATTGTTACACCAGAAGGAATGAGACCGGATCCGGCTAAAATTAAACCCATACTTGAATATCCAAAACTCACGAAGGAAATCCGAGGATTTCTAGACCTCCTTGGATATTACACAACGTTTATCAAGGACTTCGCTAAAATTACCTCTAACTTCCTGCCTCAAAAAGGACTGCATTAGAACTTGCAAAAATTTATTGACAAATCAGCCTCTTCTGCAATATTCAGACTTCAGCAAGTCTTTCAATCTAACTACTGATG